ATGGAAATATGCCAGAGGAGAGAGAGAGATTGAGATTTTTAGTGAGAGGTAGAGAAAGAGAAGAAGACAAAGTCGATGAGATGCGAGAGAATTGGATCTAGGGAGCAAGTGGTGGGACGGGAGGACTGGAGCAGAGCAGAAACCTCTTCCACTGTCGCAGGTGTGAATGGACATGGAACAGCAGAGGGAGTGAGATTAGGGGAAGTATTGTACGGGGAAGAAGAAAGATGTGAGATTTCTTCCCTGATTGTAGAGATCTTGTCAGTGAAGTGAGTTGCAAAGTCTGAGGCAGTCAAGTTAGTAGGTGGAGGAGGAACAATAGGGCGAAGAAGAGAGTTTAATGTGTGAAATAGTCGTTTGGGTTCGCAGGAGAGTGTGGTTATGAGGGTATTGAAGTAATTTAATTTTGCAGAGGAAAGAGCCAATCTGAATGAGCGCAGCATAGAATTATAGTGGAAAAAGTCAGATGCACAGTGAGACTTTCTCCAACAGCGTTCAGCAGTTCTGGAGCAATTTAGGAGGTATCGACTCATCTTGGTGTGCCAAGTTTGTTGTTGGGGGCGCTTGCTGTGTTTAAATGTAGGAGGTGCCATGATGTCTAGTTTAGAGGAGAGGGTGGAAATGTAGAAGGAGGTTGCAGAGCTAGGACAGGTGAGGTTTGAGAAAGGTAAAAGGAGAGTGTGAAGATTAGTGGAGAAATGCTCTAGGTCAAGACATTGGAGGTTTCTGTGAGATTTATGTTCAGACGGTGTAATAAAAGTACATGGATCCAGGCAAGCATGGAAAGTTGCAAGAGAGCCTGTATAAGTCATTTAGAAATAGCACTGTGTGTACATACAATGTCATTGTCTGTGTCAATGTAAAAACTTTAAGATTTCAGGGTGAGTAAAAATTTGCAGAAACAATGAGTAAGGTAAGGCTTTAATAGAAATAAGATTTGCATACAGTACACAGTTATATAGTGAGCGATCAACCTCTATATAGGTGAAAGTGTGGTTAAAAGGGTGCTGGGTGCTTCATTGGAAGAATCTGGTCCCCCACCAGATGCATGCACACAATAAAACATAACCCAAAACACACCAGATTGTTTGCATATAAAAAGATTTATTAATTCAGTGATTAAATAAAAATAGTACAAGAAAAGTGCAAAAAGCATTATAGGCATGTAGACAATAAATCACATACCCATATAAGGCATATCAAATATAAAGATACGTGCTTTTAAATCCCACAAACCCATAACGATATGGGCATACCATCCCGGAGCAGGAGATACAGCAACCCCAACGTTACGACTTCTAGCCTTCTTCAAGGGAGATGTAAATAAATACAAAAATTATATGTCTCACATTCTCATAAACGGTGATGTGGGTTCATACCAGTTCAAGGCAAAATAACGTTTCCCAACGATGGATGTAGATGAGATATTCAATTCAATTTAGAATTTGGAAGATTTAGGTTTATTTTCTTAACTAGTGCATTGTTCTGGTAAAAAAATTTTTTTTTATGTATGACTTGTGTGAATGTACAGATTTTGATCACCGCTGGAATACATTGTGCAATATGGCTGCTACCTGTAAGACTGAGCACCGTTCGCTAGCTAGACGTATTATAATAATCAGGTTCCCTGGCAAAGTATTACTAGAGTTCCCAGTTACAAGGGACTGAGTCTTGCATGTTTTTTCAGACTTTGAAAAGTCTATGGAGGGCATCTGTGTTTTTGCAAGTATTTTGTATATTTTGAGAGAGAAACACAAGTAAGAAATTACTGCCACATTACTCACGGATTTGGTGCATCACAGAAAAATGAACTGACCCTAATTAATGACTCTACATTCTAGACTTTTGTATTCGGTTTAGTCTAAATAATGGCAACTCACCTGAATTTTAGCCGATCAGCTGTTTGGCGAATTCCGTACGCCATACAGACATATAACTGAGCAAATGATTTGCATGATGTCCAAAAATGTCCCTTTAAATTGGTGTTCGGAGTTCCATCTGTGGTACAAAAATAAAAAAGATGATTGATGGGAACAAAAATGATTGATGGCTAGTAAACAGCTACTACATTTTCAAGTGAGACGGGACCAATACAAAAAAAAAAAAAAAAAGCCGTAAAAAAAATCTGTGGTGGTGTGCAGTGCACCTGTTGGTTGCAACAATTATGTGCACTACTTGAATAGTAAGAAATTGAATATACACGAAAAAGTGTGGAATAAATGGCGCTTAGTATTATGAAATAGAAGAAGATATGGTACAGCTGCTGTATACACTCTGTGGGTACTCCTAATTGCCCACCACACATAAACAATCACCAAAACGCAAAAGAACTTTTTGATTTGGATGATGTTGCCACCATCTAGATCTAGAGTTCCTTAAGTGAGTGCAGCGCTATATAAGTGCTGAGTAAGTGTGTTCTCGGAACTCTTACCCTTTTTCGCTTCTCTTAATACAATTCATACATAAAAAAGAGAACAAAAAGAACATATACAAATGATAGTGTAATATGTCTTTAAATAGAGTGATCGATGAAATAAGTGAATATGTGCACTCACATTTGTTAGAGCCTTTTCTAGTATTAGGCTCTAAACTTCTGCACGTCTGTGTCTTTTGGGTAGAACACACGACCCCTCTCTCCTTATGAAGATATTCTCCACCGGGTATATAAAAGATACAAATATTTCACACTAAGTGTAGCATCCCAGAATCGAAATATTGTTCATATAAGTAGAAATAGAGAAATGCTCACCTTTTTTAGAGCCCTTGGTAACCGGCTCTAAGTATAT